TTTCCAGAGCTGAAATTAATTTTGTCTGAAATTTTAGTGCTTTTGTTTTTTTTCTGGTTTTTTTTGGGGGGGAGGGGTTGCTGAGCTTGAGGAGCATTAATAATACTAATTAGCAGTGAATACTTACAGAAGTGTAATATTTTGTTCTCTCTCTACTGAACTGGCCATCTGCAATAAAAAATAATATATTAGCTTTGACTATCAGTGTCTGAACTTCAAAAAAAAAAAAAAAAAAAAAACATTCTAGAACTATTGCTGTTTTTTTTTGTAATGAATTTTAACCGCTAATATGGTTAGAACCATGATTTTCAAAAAGGGCATGGGCCAGCAGTCAAATATTAGAAAATGTACTTAAACAATCTGATTAAAATAAAGATCCTGTGTTATTCAGCTCTTAAATGTTAACAAATACAAAGACGAGATAGATTTGTTTTGATTCTAATAGGAAAATTCAGACTTTCGTACTTCGAAATCGACCAAGAAGACACATTCGAAAGGTAGTGAAAAATGCCTGGACAACACTTTGATTTCAGAACGATGGAAGGATAAAATAGCAAAATGAAGGACACACTACATGTACATGTATAGATGCAATGGCCAGTAAGGAGCCTAGTTAACAGTAGGTCATTTACTGGTCATTTGACTACGTATAGTACTGGATATCCTAGCTTTTCAAAACAAGATTGCACACACTGAAATGTCTCACCTACTATACTGACCATTGATTTTCTGTTGATAGTCCTACATATATAGTTTTACTACAAGTATCACATCAAAATTTATGATCCATGAAAATGATGTCAAGGTCAGATAAACCAAGCCGGAAATACATGTACACCTTTATTACAGTTATTCCATACACAGAATATAGATGACCTATTGCTTATAGTATAAGAGAAACAGACCAAACCATGGAATTTCTATATCAACCAATGAACCATGAAAATTAAGTCAAGGCCAGATGAACCATGCCAGACAGACATGTACAATGTACACCTTAAAATCATTCCATGCATCAAATACAGTTAACCTATTGCTTAAGGTATCTAGGAAAAAAAGTTAATCAAGGAAAACTGAACATTAACCAATCAACCATGAGGTGAAGGTCAGATGATACCTGCCAGACAGACATATTCATCTTACAATCATTCCAAACACCAAATATAGTTGACCAATTGCTTAAAGTTTACGAAAAACAGACCAAAACACAAAAAACTTAACATAGAGCAATGAACCATTAAAATGAGGTCAAGGTCAAATAAAACCTGCCAGACTGACATGTACATCGCAAAATATTTCCATACACCAAATATAGTAGACCTACTGCTTAAAAGTATTAGAAAAACAGATCAAAACACAAAAACTTAACATTGAGCAATCAATCGTGAAAATGAGGTCAAGGTCAAATAAAATCTGCCAGACTGACATGTACATTTTAAAATATTTCCATAAACCAAATATAGTTGACCTGCTGCATACAGTATTAGAAAAACAGACCAAAACACAAAAACTTAACATTGAGCAATGAACCGTGAAAATGAGGTCAAGGTCAAATAAAACCTGCCACACTGACATGTACATCACAAAATATTTCCATACACCAAATATAGTTGACCTACTGCATACAGTATTAGAAAAACAGACCAAAACACAAAAACTTAACATTGAGCAATCAACCGTGAAAATGAGGTCAAGGTCAAATAAAATCTGCTAGACTGACATGTACATTGTAAAATATTTCCATACACCAAATATAGTTGACCTGCTGCATACAGTATTAGAAAAACAGACCAAAACACAAAAACTTAACATTGAGCAATGAACCGTGAAAATGAGGTCAAGGTCATATAAAACCTGCCAGACTGACATGTACAAGTACCCGGCAACGTCCACTTGTATTTGTAGTATTTGTATTTTTATCCATCTGGGGCAATATGCGTAATTGATTTTACATAGGCGGTAATGGTAACGTTTTCCTCTGTAGCACAGTCCATATCGTAAACTGGGATATGCATGATGGCTCATTTCAAAGCTGAGACATTTTCACATATGTGGTTAAATTTTAGGGGTACGAAGTGCGATTCATTTTTCCGTAAATTAGCACACCCCGAAAATCCTTTCGTGATGCGGCTCCTGGTGGTAAATAATCCCTTTTTTCACACAATAAGTTCTTTGAAAATTTAATACTTTGCATACATTTAATTACTGCATAGTTTTTACACATTTATTCTATGGTCCTCTACTTTTCAAATCAACACAAATGGTTAAGCTCAGTCACTTGTTAAAATAGAAACATGTCCAATATCACTACACAGAGATTTTTTGTTTACGCACAACTTTTGTGTTCCTCAATTTGAGACGCATTAGGGATATTGACCCATCTGATGAGTTAAGCCTCTTTTAACTGATTTTTATAGTTCGTTCTTATGTTGTACTGTTACATCACTGTCCCAGGTTAGGGGAGGGTTGGGATCCCGCTAACATGTTTAACCCCGCCACATTCTTTATGTATGTGCCTGTCCCAAGTCAGGAGCCTGTAATTCAGTGGTTGTCGTTTGTTTATGAGTTACATATTTGTTTTTCGTTCATTTTTTGTACATAAGTTAGGCCATTAGTTTTCTCATTTGAATTGTTTTACATTGTCATTTCGGGGCCTTTTATAGCTGACTGTGCGGTATGGGCTTTGCTCATTGTTGAAGGCCATACCGTGACCTATAGTTGTTAATTTCTGTGTCATTTGATCTCTTGTGGAGAGTTGTCTAAACGGCAATCATTCAACATCTTCTTTTTTATATGCACATCGTAAAATATTTCCATACACCAAATATACTTCACCTACTGCATACAGTATAAGAAAAACAGACCAAAACACAAAAACTAAACTATGACCACTGAACCATGAAAATGAGGTCAAGGTCAGATGATACCTGCCAGTTGGACATGTACAATGTTCACCTTACAATCATTACATAAACCAAATATAGTAGACCTATTGCTTATAGTATCTGAGATATGGACTTGACCATGAAAACATAACTTTGTTCACTGATCCATGAAATGAGGTCAAGGTCCTGTATGACAGGCATGAGGACCTTGCAAGGTACACACATACCAAACATAGTTATCCTATTACTCATAATAAGAGAGAAATTAAGAATGCTAAATATTTTAACTTTTTTTTCAAGTAGTCACTGAACCATGAAAATGAGGTCAAAGACAATGGACATTTGACAGACAGAAACTTCATAACATAAGGCATCTATATACAAAGTATGAAGGATCCTGGTCTTCTACAAATGTACATGTACCTTCTGAAATATTAAGCTTTTAAGAAGTTTGTTAATGCTGCCGCTGCTGCCGGATCACTATCCCTATGTCGAGCTTTCTGCAACAGAAGTTGCGGGCTCCACAAAAAACTGCAATACTTGTACTGGACATCACCAACCACTAATACATTTAAAAACAGACTTGATGAATACTGGATGAACCAAACAATGATGAACGAAGACTATAACAAGTTGAGGATCCTCATAAATAGGTACTATCCTTATTTATGGGTATTATACTCCAAAAAGGCCCGGGTATCAATGTTCAGTGATAAAAATGTAAACTTTGGATTTACAGATATATGTTCTGTCATGATATGGTGCAAACATTTAGGTAAAGGACAACATTTTCCCTAAAGACACCATGACTGAAATCTCACCAGGATAAAAATTAACAGCTTTCAAATAGTAGGATTTTTGGAGGACATTATCTTTGTATTCTGTTCTCATTTGAATATAATAATAAGGAGATGTGGTAGGATGCCAATGAGACAACTATCCACCAAAGTTCAAATGAAGTGGATGTAAGCAATTATTGGCAACCGTATAGCCTTCAACAATGAGAAAATCCCATACCGTATAGTTGGCTATAACTATGGTCTTTAAGGGAAAATGTTGCCATTTATATGAATATTTGCACGACAGCAGAACTAGCTGTCAGTAACTGCCAGTACTCTGAGATCTGTACTTAGTGTCTTTTTGTTGTTTGAATATACAAGTACCCGTCCACTCTGTGTTTTTGTTTGATGTATTTCTATTTATATCCATCTGATGTGTTAAGCCTTTTTCAACTGATCTTTATAGTTTGTTTTTATGTTGTTACGTACTGTAACACCACTGTCCCGGGTTAGGGGTAGGTTGGCACCTTCAAACTACATTTGTAGTTTAAGCCAGCCACATTCTGTATGTGCCTGTCCAAAGTCAGGAGCATGTAATTCAGTGGTTGTCGTTTGATGCTGTGTTACATATTTGTTTTTCGTTCATTATTTTGTACATAGTTCATGTAGTTCTCTCGTTTCAATTGTTTTACATTTTTCATTTCAGGGCCTTTTATAGCTGACTATGTGGTATGGGCTTTGCTCATTGTTGAAGGCCGTACGGTGACCTATAGTTGTTAATTTCTGTGTCATTTGATCTCTTGTGGAGAGTTGTCTCATTGACAATCATACCACATCTTCTTTTTTATATTAGTACCCATTTATGAGGATCCTCCTCAACCTGTATAAAGCAACTATCACCGGAAAATGAGAAGAATTCGATGCATAGACCATGTAGGCTGACAAAGAGTAACAGAACCTAAGTTAACCTAAGTAATTAAATACATTTTTGTCATAAAGTGTCAAAAATAAAGAATAAAACAATACATGTACTGGAACAATATTGCGATACACCGACGTACACTATTATACCAGAGACATATTTTATATGTCTCTGATTATACTAGTATTGTAACAATATAGGTATACCGGTATTTGGATAGCTAACTAATGGAGATTCACTTATCTAATTTCATACCATCTATATCTAAAGAAACACTGCTTTGTATGATATCAGGGACTGAGTGGAAAGTACTCATTTCTGTGCATGGATTTGTTTACGTTTCATGTTCTGGGTTAATAGGCGCTTGAAATTCTCCACAAATGGACTCTATTGATAGCAAACGCACGATAGATTACGATTAATTTTAGATTATTTTGGTGCCTGCAAAAGAAAACAAGTCTTATAAAACTCTAAAATTTAACGAATTATGTATACGAAGGGACCACTGGTATTTTATGTAAATGGTAAAAAGGTAAGACACATTTGTAATTACTTCACACTTAGAAATGACATTGTTTCTGAATTATTTAATGACTAAAAATATTAGGAATCTGTACAAAAAGTACACCTTGGAGTGTCATTTGAAGTGTCCTAGAATGGGAACAATAAACAGCCTTTTCTTTTTATCAATAAATAGTAAATGGAGTTTAAACAATGTACTGACCCATTTCAATTTTCTTAATAGCCATAGGGAAAATGTTGCTGATCAGTTATGAACCCTTTTTTTTTTTTTATCTATAATTGAACCTGGGACCAAGGATTTGTATAGTAAGACTACTTACAATGTACTATACAAATCCTTGCTGGAATACATATATAAAAGGACTTGTAACTAAGCAAGAATATTTTTCATTTTCAATCTTATAAATGGCTATCAACGGAGGCATATGCAATATGTAAATTTCTCTTTGCAAACAATATATATGGTTTACTATTTTCCTAACTCCTGTTAGTATTGCCTATTGATATTATTTAAAATGACATGTATATGACATTGAAGATAAATGATTGTAGGGTGCATGGAATATAGTAATTTTCATTTCAATAATTTCATTTAATAAGTTATTATTTTGCTGTCCTATTTCTAAGTCGAGAATTTTTCATTTTCTTAGCAAATTATTCAAATATTATAATTTTTAGAAGGTCATGATATTGCTTTGTTTTTACATCTAAATTTTTCTTGATAATTTATCATTAATAATTTTTATATGGTTCGAAAAAGAACATATTTTTCCAGAAAAAAGGCATTCAAAAAATGTGCTAAAATGTGCATAGAATTAAAGGTACATTTAAAGATTTTTAAAAATTAAAATAGGGGTTCAAATATTATATAAACTTTATTGCATTAAGATGAGGTCAGATGAATAACATGTTAAATTTTGTGTATTGTATCAAGTGCATCACTGATAATTGTGATCCCACTTGCATTCTTTTATTTATACAGATTTTATTATTATACGCCCATCTTTAAAGATAGGACGTTTTATGGTATCGTTGTCTGTCTGTCCGTCCGTCATCAACACTTTGGACAATTGTATTAAACTCAAAAATGCTTTCACTAATTTTCATAAAACTTTGGTGAATTGTTAATGTTTATATCTATTGACGTAAGCATGGTAAGCTCCATTTTGATTTTCATAAATTTTAGATTTTAATTTTCCTAGTATGCTAGTTGTGGGATTTTATTTGTAAAAGATGAGTGATTTTCCAGTTTTCTGACTATAACTCAAAAAAGATTTGAACAATTTTCATGAAACTTTGGTGAATTGTTTATATATATAAATGTATAATATTGACATAAGTTCCCTTTTGACAAACATGTTTGATTTGTAAAAAAAATCTGATTTTATGTTTTGGAGTATTGGGACTTTATTCATAAAAAAGGGGGGATTTTCCAGTTTTCGGACAATAACTCTTAAAAGCTATGAGCAGTTTTCATGAAACTTTGGTTACTTGTTTATATCTATTGAAATAAGCTCCCTTTTGGTTTTCATAAATTTCTAATATGACATTGCTGTATTATGGAACTTTATTTGTTCAAAAATCGTTGAAAACTGTCCATTTTTCACACTTTGGACGGCTATAGAATTTTATTTAAAGTATACAGATGAGCTAAAAGGGCGACGGGCGTATCATGCGCTTAAGGCGCAGGTCTTTATTTTTATCTTTTCTTTAAAACAATTACATCTGATTAATCTACATGTATATTAATTCATCTTTGAAACATAATTTACAGAATAATTTTATATAGTTACTAGTGTAGATTGAAAGTTACAAGTAAAAAAAGGTAGTTTTTGGAAGCTAAAAAACTCAAGTTATTGTTTAATGCTACCAGAAGTTTCAAGTCTTTTCATGTATTAATCTCAAATTGATAAAGTTGATAAAGTCGATAAAGTTGATAAAGTCGATAAAGTCGGTCACAGCCTACTAATACACACACTGGATTACTGTGGCATTGGAGGGAAAACCAACAAATGGATCAAGGGTTAGACTCTTTGCCCACTTTACCATAGTACAAATGTCTATCTTACCGTCGCATAAGACACAGACAGTGACAACTTATAAGCAGATCTCAATAAACTGGTAATCTGGGACACAAAATGGAAAATGGCCTTTCATCCCGATAAATGCAATGTACTAACAATTTTAAGAAAACACAAACCTATTGTGAGATTACACACTGCTTGACCACACCCCTCAATCTGTAAAGTCTGCAATATATCTAGGTTGTACCATCAGTTCAGACATGAAATGGAACAAACATATCAAAAACATATGCAACAAGGCAAAAAAGACCAATGTATTTCTGAAACGGAACCTCAATATCAACAACACCACCATAAAGGAAACTGCATGCAAATCTCCTGTTAGACCGGTACCAACCTTGGAGAATGCATGCACAGCAAAATAACAAACTCCTGCTTCAAATGGTACAAAGAAGAGCAGCAAGATAACGCCACTAACAGATATCACAACACCTCATCTGTTTAAGTGACATGGTTAACCAACTTGAATGGAAAACCTGTAAAGATAAAAAACACAGAAAACATTCTCACTCCACCAGACAGACTATCCAGTAACATAAACATACTAGTACTAGTACCATTGTGTAGAACAGAAGTGAGGAAAGAACAATTAGAGACTGGAACGCACTTCCACTTACCGCCACCAGTGCAGGTAGTCTTGAATGCTTCAAGACTCACTTACATGAGACGATCTAGACCACCTCCCAGGATGTTTCAAGACTCACTTACATAATCTAGACCACCTCCCAGGATGTTTCAAGACTCACTTACATGAGACGATCTAGACCACCTCCCAGGATGTTTCAAGACTCACTTACATGAGACAATCTAGACCACCTCCCAGGATGTTTCAAGACTCACTTACATGAGACGATCTAGACCACCTCCCAGGATGTTTCAAGACTCACTTACATGAGACAATCTAGACCACCTCCCAGGATGTTTCAAGACTCACTTACATGAGACAATCTAGACCACCTCCCAGGATGTTTCAAGACTCACTTACATGAGACGATCTAGACCACCTCCCAGGATGTTTCAAGACTCACTTACATGAGACGATCTAGACCACCTCCCAGGATGTTTCAAGACTCACTTACATGAGACGATCTAGACCACCTCCCAGGATGTTTCAAGACTCACTTACATGAGACGATCTAGACCACCTCCCAGGATGTTTCAAGACTCACTTACATGAGACAATCTAGACCACTTCACTGTATATAGAATGTATTGCACATTTTTTTTCTTATTAAATATTTACATGCGCATCCAAAAGTGGCATAATAATCATTTTATTGATGGTGGCAACGTTATGGTTGAAGTAGAGGAATTGACCTAGGATTATTAATGGTAAAGTTCAAACCTTTCTTTCTAAAGTTTTATGTCTGCCATCATGATTCCACTGACTGATATGGAATATCTTTGTCACTGATTATAAAGGTTATTTTCTACATGTTGTAGCCATCTAGTGTTTACTAGCCAAGAGCACATGCTGATTGCCTCTAGTGGTGCAGAAATTGCTTACATATACCCTTCTGGAGCACTTGAGTTCAACCTATGTATTTCTTGGTGTTCATGTTGCACAACATTTAATTTTCTGTTTAGTGCACATCTTATGTGGATTGTTATTTGTCTTTTTCTATGAATAAGTCAAACTTGCCTGGCAGTCTATCATTTAACAGAGAAACGTTTTTAATCACAAATTTAACAAATGTTGTCATCGTTTAAGTTGTTACAAAATCTTAATGCATGGAAATTCAAAATGTTATCATAATTCAACACTGAATCTTAAAAATCACTTTAAAAACTAAAAAGCATACATGCATTGAGAAAAACAGCACATGAAAATGAATAAATGAATGTTATTCTATTATGAAAATATAGAATCCTGTTTTTTAACCACCAAAAAGTTAATGCTCAAGAAAATAAAATAGAAAATGTTATAATCACAGATCATTTACATAAGAGTTTAATTGTTGACTTCTAAAACTTATGTACTTTTAATAATAATTAATAAGTACATTGATTTTAGAAGTAAAAATTAAACTCTTATGTCATGTACGTGACTTCCAAACGTTTTTAACATTTTCTTTATTTTCCCCTCAAGCATTATCTTTTTGGGGTTATAATACAGTATGCCATTTAACATGTTCAATAAAATAACATTTTGTATACATTATCATCATTTACATGCATTATTTTTCTCAATATGCTTATCATTTTGTTTATAAGTATTAATAAAAGGAGCTGTTGGGTAAACATCAGTCATTCAGTGAGATACATGTAGCAACACAATAACAAATTAAAAACCAATTGTTCAGAGAACAATTGAAGGTCTTTCCACCAGTAAAGATTATTTTGAAATAAAAATATTAAAATTCGGTTTAAAATGTCATTTCAAGCGTCAAATGATGGCTTATTGTACACTAATTCCAAAAATATATTGTTTCTATATAAAAAAAATTAAATAAGGAAGATAATTTGAGACTTCCGGTTTGAAAAATGATACTTCCGGTATAATTTGATAGTTCAATTGACACTGATTCCAAAAATATATCGTTCGATATACTTTTACATTAAATATGTACAAAAAATAGCTACTTCCAGTTTACACAAGGTCATTTCCGGTTGGCTTTCCAACGTCAAATGATAATGAAAAAAGTCCCATGACTTTATCAGGTATACTTATGAGGTAAAAGCAAAGGTCAGTATCTAGAACGTCAAATTTACCAATGACCTTGAGCTCAATTTCAAGGTCAAAAACCAAGGACCACAAATCAAAAGACCCTTCGTCTTAATTATATATGGTTAATGAGTTATATCACCATATGCGTTATTTTAAATATAAGGGGGGAGAAAACTCCTATTTAATGTTAGCGTACCCTTTCTACCATAATGTATGTGTTACGACATGTCGCAACTAATAATTTAGTAAAAATAATTT